CCCTATAACCTGGTAAAGCATCCGCTTGGAAACTGAATTGACCAATCAGACGATTTGTACTATGTTTATCGCGTTATCAAGTTCGTTGACGCCAGCTGAACATTGTAGTGAGAAACATAAACGTCCCTACAAATGTATTTGACAATGTAATTTTAAAATCAATTTTCATATTGCAAATTCTCCACCTTTTGACAACTGTGCATAGCTTGTGACTTCTCTTAAGCTTGCAAATGAGAAGATCATTTAGAGTTTTTATTTAATAATAAATAATTTAAAGTCAACAATATCTCTTTGTTAATCAATCAAAAGCTTAACTTTTCCAGCGAAGATTTTGCAAGGCTCATAACATCGTTACAATCTTCACGTAGTGGTGCTAACTGATCGCTGCTGAAGCTTTGCACATCCCAAAAGTGCTACCTACCCCGTGGCCCCCTCGAAGTCTATTTGGACTCCTGTTGGAGACTCAGCTGGCTGGCTGATCTTCATTGCCTTCGCTTTGCACATGGTGGAGTCTAGTATCTCAAGCTCTGCAGAATAAGAATGCATGTTCTCCACCACTTTCATTACCTATCAAAAAAGGAAAAAACAACAACAATGACTAGATGAAACGTACATGATAACAAGGTCCTTGTTCTTAGCGATGTCCTCACTTCGAATGCATATCGCGACGTTTCAATCGTTATCTACCTTTATAAAATCAGTTTTTATTGCACATCGAAATCAGCAAATGGTTTAACGCGTCATTTTATGATTTATGTGCTTATCTATTGTTCTTGTTCTTCGCCACAATGACGAAATTGGACCAAAAGTGACATTTTGCATTCCAGCTTTCAGTTCTGGTGTTCAAAATCCATCCACTGTCATCACAGAACTGTCCTAAAAAGATGAACCAGGTTTGGGATCCCAGTTCGCTTGGCTGTGGCGCAAATGAGCATCACATGGGTGCCAAGTCAATAATTGATAATAACTTGACAAAACATAATGCACCTTTTACCTTTATTAGTTGGCATTTCTCGTCGGATTCAACCACGGTGAAAGTCTGTCTTGCAAACAGACCAAATTTTTCGACAGGATCAACCTGTTCAACACTCTGCACAGTCTCGTCTCCCACCCTCACTGGTTCACAATTGATGACTGATATCAATTGTATGGACGATATCCATATCGTGGATGAATAGTTAAGCTCATTCCAGTCTTCTTCGCGTAGATGGAAAGTCACCACGTGGGTGTTATCATCATATCTTAAGCTGTTGTAAATTACTGGAGCACTAGGCGGGGAGGGAGACATCCACTTGCATAGAAAGATAATATGGATAAA